ATAGATAGATAGATAGATAGATAGATAGATAGATAGATAGATAGATAGATAGATAGATAGATAGATAGATAGATAGATAGATAGATAGATAGATAGATAGATAGATAGATAGATAGATAGATATACTTCACTTAGGGATGGTTGTCTCACTGGTTGTGTGGTTGGTTGTCCCACATGTCCCACATAGGCAGAGCACAGGACTCAAGTCATGACACTTACAAAATCAGCCAAGACAATCACAAATTTAATGACTTTTGACTTGATGATATCAGCTAACATTTTAACAGCAATGACATTTCATCACTTTGACATGACAACACTTAATACCTTTTACGAAAAAGGAAAGTACTGAAGAGTGCCATCACAGTTACCCACTTCAATGTGGCACTTTCTCTTTGTTCAATGAAAGAGTCGAATGTTAGAGTTAATTAAAATTAATGAAAGTTATTAAAAAGGTAAACAAGCTGAAAAGCAGAAAAACCTTTGCATTTCTGAAGCCTTAACAATCTAACTTAAATGCAACTATTCTCTGTAACAATAACAAAACATCCCATAAAATGAAGTTATTCGATTAATGAAGCTCTCATGTGTCCTGCCGTTCCCCTATGAAACAGACGAGTTAGAACTGCATTTAAGAAAATGTGTTGTATTTACATTAGTATTTCATTTTGATCTGAAACATGCAGCTAGATAAGTACCCACAGGCTTTTATTTTATGGACGTCAACAAAAGGTAAACTAAATTGAAAAGGGCAGAAAACAAAAACATCCTGCTGTTGTCATACTTAGTTAAGATTTACTTCAAAAAGCATCATCAGAAAATCATTTCTTGCTGGTTCTAGAAAACAAATACACATTTAAAAATTTTATCCAGAAATTCTTTAAAATTGTTCTAAATATTACTCTGATTAAATTACATATTTGGTTAAATGTCTTGTTTAGGACTTAAAATTTAAAGGTCATGACTTGGACTGTGCTCGGGACTTGCATGTTTTGACTTTAAACCCGACTTGTGACTTATATCCTTACTTGGGTCTTGACTCGATTTGAATGGAATGACTTGAGAGTTCCTTGTGACTTGAAAAACAATGACCTGGTCCCACCTCTGCATATGAGTTTAAATACATTCATGGAATGTGTTCTGAGTTAGTTTTGTAGAGACCATTTTTTTGAAACTCCACCGAAAGCATTATTTTATTTGCACACACTGAGAAGTCCTCCTCTACACATTCTATATCTGATGAACTTATGGTTTCAGTTTTCGATTTGTTTTACCTTAGTATCCAGATTTGATTTGTTGTCTGTAATGATTTGTTGTTAAACTGCAAGGTTTTTGCTGAGTGGTGATGGTTCATGCTGCCATTGTACATATAAATGTTATATGGATACTCGTGAGGTGTTGTCTGTTGGAATGCAAGGAAAAATACTCATCGCTTGTGGTTTTTACTTAGAAATTTGTTCTTATATGTATTTCTCGCTGTTTTGTAGTGAATGGAAATTTGCTTTAAAGTCCAGGTTGTCGTTGGCACACTAAAAATGTGTGAATAATCACATCTTACAGAGCAATTTTCTTTTTGATCAAGTCTATCCAGACCTGACTAGGCACACAAACACAGCCGAAACCTAAAATAAAGCATTTAGCGTTCATTTTAAGTTCTGCTTTAAAGTGTTGGGATGCACCAGATCTCATGTGGTCTCTTGTTTTTTTTCCTCACAGGTCACATCGTGGTGGTTCCAGCTGATCCACCCTTGAGACTGCTCCCAAACCTAAACGATTTCCTTAATCTTTTAGCTGTTCTGCTCAGGCCTTTTGAAGGTAGGGTTGAGAGAAATGATGATGAGAGAAATGTTAGTGATGATGATGATGAGGAGGATAGTGATGATGAGGAGGTTGAGTTTGAAGATGTTAGTTCTCTTTCGGCATTTGATGAGTCTCTTGAGGTATCTAGCGAGGTTTCTGGGTATGACACCGTGAGCTCTGAGGAAGAAGAGGTTGATGAAGATGAGGACAACCTTCCACCACAGTGTCGCTTTGTCCAGACGATTCCTCCACACTTCAGACTCCCATGGAACCATGACCTGCAGGAAGAGCCTCTGGACCGTCCAGATGAGGAGTCCGTTTCGGAAGATGAAGGAGAGGTCAGTGTTGATGACGTGTCAGAGGAGTCAGATGTTAGTTCTTTTTCGGCATTTGGTGAGTTGCTTGAGGTATCTAGCGAGGTTTCTGGATATGACACAGTGAGCTCTGAGGAAGAAGAGGTTGATGAAGATGAGGACGACCTTCCACCACAGTGTCGCTTTGTCCAGACGATTCCTCCACACTTCAGACTCCCATGGAACCATGACCTCCAGGAAGAGCCCCTAGAGCGTCAAGAAGAGAACTCACTTCGAGGGACCTCCCCACGTTACCAGGAAAGGGTTGAACTGGACCCGGCTCCCTCAACATCTGGCCCCTGCGTCTCCAGAAAGAGGACAAGGGAGGGAGGTGCTGAAGAGGAACTCCCTGCCAAGAGGATTAGTCGTTAGAGAAGAGCTATTTCCTTCATGAACCTTTTCTATCAACCTTTGGCATTAGCTAATTACCCACCTGGAAACATATCTGTGGATAATATCCGGAGATAATTTCTTTATTGGTTGTGATTAAAGCCAATGGCTTTCTTTTTTTTTTTTTTTAAAGATATGTTTTTTGGCACTAGTGGCCTTTATTTTGTATTTTTTGACAGTAGGTAGACAGGAAAGGGGTAGAGAGACGGGGAGACATTCGGTAAATGTCACTGGATCTGGGACTCGAACCCGGGACAGCCGCCTCGAGGACTATAGCCTCTGCATATGATCGCGTGCTTCGCCCCTACACCATCAGCGCCACGCCCGCTGATGGCTTTCTAGCAGGACTGGTGATGCCTTCGGTAGCGACTTGCGCCGGGTCTTTTCTTTATCCCGCTGCTAGGTCTTGGTTTTTAGATATTAAGGAGTCTGGCAGGACCGGTGATGCCTTCGGTAGCGACTTGCGCCGGGGCTTTTCTTTATCCCGCTGCTAGGTTTTGGTTTTTAGATATTAAGGAGTCTGGCAGGACCGGTGATGCCTTCGGTAGCGACTTGCGCCGGGGCTTTTCTTTATCCCGCTGCTGGGTTTTGGTTTTTAAAAGTTAAGGATTATCTGGAGATATCTGGAGAGACTATGGCAACATCTTCTACACATTTTTAAATAGGCCATGGAATCAATAAGACAACAGGAGGCAACCAAAATAATCAAAGAGGATCAATCACAACAGTGCGCCAAGAGGATGCAGAGAATATGTTAAGATGGACAAAGAAAGCACAAAAGGGAAGAAATAAATCCTCCTTGAAAACACATGGACCGCAAACGCATTAAAATCTGTAAGGAATGAGGTAAAACTGCTGGGGACAAATAAAAATCTGGGGTGACAATGCTGTCGGACATAAATTAAATACTTTAAGTGCTAAGAAGATGCTAATTATTACACATTAAAATCTTGGTGGTGAGACAAGACTGCTGGGCACAAGACAATGTTGCTTGAGAACACATACCAAACCTGCTTGGACACATAAAAATCTCTAAGGAGTGAGGTAACACTGCTGTGGACAAATAAAAATCTTTACAGAATGAGAAAACGTTACTCGGGACGCATTAAAATCTCAATGCAGTGAGACAACGCTAGTGTGGACGCATTAAGAGTGAGGTAACACTGCCGGGGACAAATAAAAATCTTTATAGAGGGAGGAGACGCTGTTGGGGACACATTAAAATCTCAATAGAGTGAGAGAATGCTACTGGGAACGCATTAAAATCTATGGAGTGAGACAAGGCTACTGGGGACACATTGAAAGCTTTATGGAGTGAGACAACACTACTTGGGACGCATTCAAATCTCTAAGGAACAAGAAGACACTACTTGGGATACATTAAAATCTTCATGGAGTGAGACAACATTACTCACACTGCTGGGGACAAATACAAATCTCTATGGAGTGAGAAAATGCTGCTGGTGACAAATTAAAATCTCTAAGGAGTGAGACAACACTACTGGGGATGCATATAAATCTCTATGGAGTGACACAACGCCACTGGGGATGCATTAAAACTTCTAAGGAGTGAGACAATGCTACTGGGGATGCTTTAAAACTCTAAGTGAGGTAACGGTACTGGGGAAGCATTAAAATATATATGGAGTGAGACAGCAATACTTGGGACACAATAAAATCTCTAAGGAATGAGACAACACTACTGGGGATGCATTAAAACTCTAAGGAGTGACATAACGGTACTGGGGAAACATTAAAATCTCTCTGGAGTGAGACAGCACTACTTGGGATGCAATAAAATCTCTACGGAGTGAGACAACATTACTTACACTGCTGGGGACAAATACAAATCTCTATGGAGTGAGAAAACGCTGCTGGTGACAAATTAAAATCTCTAAGGAGTGAGACATCACTACTGAGGACGCATATAAATCTCTATGGAGTGAGGTAACGGTACTGGGGAAACATTAAAATCTCTCTGGAGTAAGATAGCACTACTTGGGACGCAATAAAATCTCTAAGGAGTGAGATAACACTACTGGGGACGCATTAAAATTCTAAAGAGTGAGGTAACGGTACTGTGGAAGCATTAAAATATATATGGAGTAAGACAGCACTACTTGGGACGCAATAAAATCTCTACTGAGTCAGACAACATTACTTGCACTGCTGGGCACAAATAAAAACCTTTATGGAGTGAGACAATGCTACTGGGGACGCATTAAAACTCTAAGGAGTGAGGTAACGGTACTCAGGAAGCATTAAAACTCTAAAGAGTGAGGTAACACAACTCGGTACGCATTAAAATCTCCATGGAGTGAGCCAACATTACTCAGACTGCTGGGGACAAATAAAAATCTTAATGGAGTGAGACAACACTACTTGGGACACATTAAAACTCTAAGGAGTGAGGTAACACTGCTGGATGCAAATAAACCTTTATAGCGGGAGACAATGCTACTGATGCTACGGATATTAATTAAATATTTTAAGGGGTGAGAAGACGCTACTGGTTACACATTCAAATCTTCAGAGGTGAGACAAGACTGCTGCAGACAAATTAAAATTTGTAAGAGGTAAGACAATGCTGCTTGGACAAAATAAAATGTCTATGGAGTGAGGTAACACTGCCAGGGAAAAACTAAAAAGAGGTGAGACAACCCTGCTAGGGACAAATAAAACTGTCACGGCAACAGATGGTTATCAAGTGGTCTCTTGGCTTTTGCTGAATAAGGAAATGAGACAATGCTTCAGAACACAGACTGACTTCTGACCACTTTGAGACACAGCATTTCAGGTGTCTGAATGTGGGTTGTGTGCGTTGCGTTGACTGTTAGAAACCGGTTGTACCTGTGCCATGCCAGAAATATGGTTAGAAATATTACTTTAGTAATAATTTAGTAATATTTAGTAAGCCTAGTTTGAGGAAAAGTACCTTCTGGAGAAATACTCTCCTCCTGATTTCACCTCTGTTAATCTCTTATGTGTTATTGAGTGTTATTGAATATCATATTGGACTGAGCCTCCATGGGCTTTGGCTACCAGAAGATGCTGAGGAGATCTACGGTGACAAACAGAGGACCATCATCTGAGCTGCTGACTTCTACAAAGCGTGGGGAATAGGGTGAGTACATGTTCAGAAAGTTTTCACAGTAATCAGTTAATTGAAATATAATGTAAATATTGTAGACTAGCTCACTTATTAGTTTATTTAGGATCAAGCACCCTGAAACTGAAAAAGGCAGAAATCCTGTGAAGATCCAGGATATTGAGGCCGATGAAGAGCTTCCTAGGGACACCTGAAGACAGGACAGATAATCCAGAGGGAGAGGATGTGGAGGTAGTTCCTTAATAGCCTAACAAACCAAGCTCTAAGATGTAGATGATACAATAACCCTTCAAAGAAAAATATTACAATATAAACATTCTACAAAAATAGCTGAAGCTAAATAATTTCTAATTGTTTATTTCTGCAGATCTAAAGCCTCTTCAGTCAGAAGGAGGAAGATGGGAAAATGAAGTTGACAAAAAAAGTAAGAAAACATATAATTAGACAACATTTTTAAATATACATGTAGCTGAGCTTAAAGCTAAAAGCTAGCATGATTCCTTTTTGTGTGTTTTTTTTCCTATTTTGTTTTTGTAATAAACTGAGTTTCTTTGTTCTTTGCTGTGATGGAACAAGCATCTGAAACAATGGATCATCAGTGTGTCCCAATCTTTAGAACACTGAGTTTTGTATTTTCACATGTTTTCTGTTGTATTAGTTCAGCTTTTTCTCAGGTTTGTATTCTGACTATTGTTCTCATTAGTCATGTTCTGTTGATTCAATGTATCATTCCTGTTCAGATAATCCCCCCCAGTGTTTCATTGCAGGACCTATTTTATTTATGCTTCCCCACACAGCTGCTTCCAAAGCAGTTAACTATACTCACCTGTTCCTCGCTCCGCTAATCCACTCTCCAAGTATTTAGTCCTTTGGTTTTCAACTGCTCCTCGCTGGGGTCTTTTGTTGTCCCCTGTGTGGTTCCTGTTTCCTTTCTTTCTGGTTCCCTTCCTGTTTGTAAGTTCTTAGAAATTCACGTCACTGCCTGTTTCCTGCCTGCGTTTGGATCCTTCAACTCCACCAAACATGGCATTATTAGAGGACCTGCTGCACTACCCGATTTACTGCCTGTGTAGAAAGTAGAAAAGGAAGCAGGAGGTGATCCACTATTTAGAAATAAAATATCTGCAGGATTTTTTCCCAGTGTTCCTGTGGATCTCTGTTCAGCTCCTGTTCATTTTCTCCTTCAGCTCCTCTACCTTTATTGGTCTCAGCTGTTCCTCCTTTACACCTGATTTCTCTCACCTGTTGCCTTGCCTTTCTCCTAACTTCTCCTCTGTATTTAAGCTCTCTGGTTTTCTCCTCTCACTGCATGATTCTGCTCCTGTCCCGATGCTCTGTTGCTCTGCCACATTATTTGTCTTCTCGCCCTGTCCTCCGTTCCAGTGTTTTGCTGTTCATTAAGTATATCAACTTACCATGAGACTCCAAGTGCAAAGAATCCAGCCTTCAACTGGACCAAGCAGCACAAACCACCAGCCGGACACCAAGGACGTCAGCGTCCCCTTCCCACCATCTAGCCAGAACCCGCGCTCGATGCCTTGCCTCACCATCAGCTCCATTCTCCACCACCTGCGTCAACACCTCCTGCTGCTCCCTCCTCTGCTCGCCTTCTTGCCTTCACGACTCCTTCTCCGAGGGTCCGGCTGTCGTCTGCAGATCCTGCGTCATGTCTCCAGAGAGCAGCTGAGCCAGTGTCAACTCTCCTCAGAGCATCTGAGCTGCCTGCAGCAGCTCCTATGTCCTCGGTGGCATCCGCAGTAGCAGCAACTTCAGCGATTCTATGTTTTCTTTAGAGACTCCTTCTGTGCAGCCTTCAGCATCATCCCCTTCATCTGCACCCCTGGCTCTGTTATGTTCATCATCTCCGTCTTTGCTATCTTCACCCTCTGTTAAACCTTCTTCAACTTCACTCCAGCCTCACAATCCTGTTCCCGAATTCTCTGACAAGGGTGTCCAGGTGGGATCCCGGTTTCCACACCATTCTCCAACTTTCCTCCGTGGGTTCCTACATCCAGTGGACCAGACTCCAGAGCCCCTCTGTGGATCCCTGGGTCCAGTGGACCGTCTTCCAGAGCTTCTTTTTGGACTCCAGCATGCTGTGAACAAGTTTGCCAAGCTCCACCCTAGACTCTCTACAACTTCCAGTTGGCCTGAGAGAAGGTTCTCCGAGGGTTCTCGCAGGCCTCCATCACCAGTTGCCAGTGGCCTCC